AATAAAGGCAAACCTTTTACAATTCCGATTATCTTTAGGACTAAAAGGAGTAGTTGCTTCCACTGTTAGAAGGAAAAAATTCAAGTGATTGCGCCGGCGCCGCATGCGCGCACACAGTTGAGCATTGCTACCTTGACAATGCAGCCTGTTCATTATCATAATAAAATACAGTCAGTCAAACATATGGAAAAAAAACCTATGTAGTAAAAAAAAAATATGTAATAAAATCTCTCATATTGACATCATTTTGTCATGATGTTCCTCCTCCACTTCACTCAGTTCTTTACTCTTTTCCATCATTTCCATCAGCTCTGAAATAAAAAAGTTACATTTCATTTTCAGTACATCAAAATAATTAAACACATAAAACACATAAAAGCCCTGCTGTAACAAAGCAGACAACTGCTATAAAATATAAAAATTTTGTATACATTTTTATAAATATTTTTATATAAATTATACATCCCTGCAACTTTCCATGTACACTGATCTTTAAGTATTATTTTTTAAAACATTATAGACAGATCCCATGTTTCTGTAGTGAGAATTATTAAATATATTTGATCTAAGACACGATTATCTAACGTGATATTAACAATAAAATAAATATTACCTTCATATTTTGTCACCAAATTTTAGATCGATATTTAATTTATTTTACTAAAAACATTTTAATTATTAAGTGGAATTTCACTGTTAAAATATTTTGATTGTTTTTGCTAGTTTTCATAATGTTGAAAGAGAGAGTGCATATCTAAGTCTTTGATATTAATTTATATATTAAATAGCCTATAATAAATCAGTACACTAGATGAGGTAAAATAAACCATGTGTATGAGTCCACATTCTATTGACAATAGACAATAAACGATAATTGACTATATCAACATTAGGGCTGGGTAAAAAATATCGATATCTCAATTTTAATCGATTCTCATTTTTACTAAACAATATTGATTCTTAAATCCCAAGAATCGATTAGTCTAGCCTTCTTTCAGTTAATGGACGGAACATTGAAGGGCACTTCCCATTCAATAAATCGCAATAAGCATTGTGCGTTGGTACTTTTAATATGAAACAAAGTCTCAGATTTCATTTTATGTCCATTGTATTGCAGTATTCAAACAATAAGTGCAGTTTTGGCAGTTTAATCAGGAGTGACAGATTGCTGTAGCGCCTCAGTTCAACAGACAGACAGACAGTTCAACAGAGCGTAGCGCACGTGAATTGATCATCTCCTCCACATTAATACCAGTTTCAGCACAAAATAAACATGACTAAACATCCGAAGGTAAGCTAAAAGAAAGAGTACAACTTTACAATCCGTATCCTGTCCCATGTAATCGCTCAATCAGCGTTTCAGCCGTGCAAAGACGTCAATATAACAGCTTGTAAACAATTCATGTGACATTACATTTACCTCTGAAAGCATATTTGGTGACCATAAACTCGTTAGTCAGCCAGAAAAATAAACTGTAGAGAGGAGCATTTTGCTAAATATATGCACCATTTAACATCCATTATAATGTTTTACTGTTCTTTACTGTTTTATTTATGTTTGATTAAATCCATCCAAGTTTTTATGACAGCCACTATTTAAATGTGTATATTAAAAAAAATGAGTAATTGTAACTTATTATAAAAACTTTAAGTGCAATTTAAGCAGTTGTAAAGCACAAATCAGTCAATTGTAATCTTCAGTATTATAATGTAGTACCAACTGACTCTCATGTATGTTTTACAGCATTAGCTGAGAGAGATTTTTTTTTTCCTTAAGAAAATTTGGTATGTACTGTACCTGATATGTATCCAAAATAATATTGAATCGAATCGGTAATCGAAAGCTTGTGAATGAGATTCTAATCGAATCGTGAAATTTGTGTCAAAACCCAGCCCTAGTTATTTTATTGGCTTGTATATTTTAAATTCAGTATCATTCAAATTAAGTTAAATTAGGACTTTCAAAATTATTTTATGTAATAAAGTAATAAATAATTATTGAAAAGCTGTTTCGGTTTTCGGCCAAGTGCATTCAGCATTTTCATTTCATTTTTTGTTCAATGTTTAATTCATGGTTGAATAAATCAGTCAAGTTTTTTCGACAGCCACCATTTAAAAAAAAAAAATGTAAAAATGAATTAGAGTAGAGATATAATTATGTAATTGTAATTTTATTATTATAAAATCTTCATTGAGTGTAATTTAAATGCTTGCAATCAAATCAGTTAATTTGAACCTTCAGTATAGTAATGTGGTACCAACTGACTCTCATTTACAGCATTAGTTGAGAGATTTTTTTCTCCTTCAGAAAATTTGGCATGTACTGTACCATATATCCAAAATAATCAATATTGAATCGAATTGGAAACTGAATCAAATCGCAAGCTTATAAATCTGAATCAAATCAAATCGTGAAATTTGTGTCAATACCCTGCAACCGTCTGTTCTGCCTATAGTTAGCAATGGCGCTGTAATATGCAGTTTAATAAACAGCTGTTTT